GGGAGCCGCCATAGACCGATGCGGCGGCCTGCGGGTACATCTGCTGCTGTTGCCCGGGGAAGCCGCCGTAGATGCTGGCGCCGCTTCCAAACTGGCCCTGGGGCGCCATGAAGCCGCCTCCGACGGGCATGCCGTACGTCGATGCCGGCCCGCCGTAGGTCGACATGGCCGGGGTGGCGTAGCCGCCGCCGTTGCCGCCGCCGCCCATGCCGCCGATGCTGTACGTCGACTGGCGCGCCATGTCGGGCTGCGGGAAGCCGTAGGCGGGCGCGGCGACGATCGAGGGCGTGCCGCCGTACTGGGACGGCGTGGGGCTGTGGCCGAAGCTGCCGTTGTGGGGCAGCATGGGCGCGCCGTAGAGGCTGGGCGCGTAGGCCGACCCGGCGCGCGACCCGGCTCCCGTGCCCGGGCCGCCGCCGCCGCCGACGAGCGACTTGCTCTCGTTGCGCGCCGCCTCGATGATGGAGCCAATCGACCTGGCCGAGTTGCGCTCCCACAGCTCGTTTTCGTACTCGGTCCACGTCTGGAGCGGGATGTCGCTGGCGTCGAACTTGCCCTCGTCGTGGACGACGACCTTCTGGCCCTTTTCGCCCATGACGACGCGCGTGTTGCCCCACGAGAAGTCGTCCATGTGCCAGAACGAGTAGAGGGGCAGGAAGAGCGACCAGATGGGGATGCCGATGATGTAGACGATCATCCATCCGATCATCTCAAACTTGCGGTTGAGGAGGAAGATGAGGGCCTGGCAGCCGTAGATGGCGGCGAGCATGATGATGGCGGTGAGGGGGATGGTGCCGTTGTCGGTGGCGACGAGGACGATGAGGTAGGCAATGTAGGCCACGGTGACGGGCGCGATGACGGTCGACAGCAGGTCGATGAAGACGATGAAGCGCATCGAAAACAGGCAGAAGCCGCACAGGCCGGGCGTAAAGATGAGCTCGACGAGGTTGTGGACGGTCGAGTTGATCCAGCGGCGGCGCTGCGACAGGAGCACCTTCCAGTCGTCGGGGGCCACCGTGTAGGCCTTGCAGTCGCGCACAAAGATGGTCTTGTACTTGCCAAAGTGCTTGAGGACGAGCGTGGTCAGGTAGCGGTCCTCGCCGAGGTGAAGCAGGTTCTTGGTGTGGAGCGTGTCGACGCGGTTCTCGGAGTACTCTTCGACGATGGCCGAGGCGATGAAGAGCGGGCGATGGGTGTCCGGGGTGCGGATGCGGAACATGGAAAAGCATCCGGGCAGGCACGTCACCGAGCCAAACAGCGACTCGAACGCCTTGGCCAGGTAGTGCGAGATGTAGTACTCGTACACCTGGAGCATCGTGACGAAGCTGGCCTTGGCGTTGGAGAGGGCCGTCTCGCCGCAGAGGCCGATGACCTTCTTGTCGCGGATGAAGGCCGAGATGAAGCGGTTGAGCGACAGGCTGTCGACCTCGGTATCGGCGTCGACCTGGAGGATGTACTCGTAGAAGCTGGGGTTGACGCCGATGACGTTCTTGATCTGGTGGTAGATCTCGAGCTCCATGGGGTTCATGGGCAGGCCAAAGTGGACCTTGTTGAGGAAGCGCATCAGCACCAGCTGCGAGTCCCGCTTGCCTCGGTTGCCCGGCCGCGAGCGCTCCGTCGGCTTGCCGCACTTGACGACGACAATGTAGGGCACGACGTGGCCGAGGTGCTCGTAGAGGCCCGAGTAGACCTTGGCCATGTTGTGCTGCTTGCTGCCCTCGCCGAGCGAGAGGAAGCTGAGCGCCTCGGGCTCCAGGTTGGGGTCGGCGCCGAGGATGTCGAGCACGATGCGCGGCGTGGGGCGGTCGTTGCCCGATCCGACAATGTTGCCGTCGCAGATGACAAAGATGAGCTTGCGCTTGTCGTCGTACTTGAGCGCCGCCAGCGAGTCGATCGTCTTGCGCATCGACTCCTCCCCCTCGGTGTAGCAGGGCACCTGGCAGATGACAAACTTGTCGTGGTCCTCGGGCTTGCGGGCGCGGCCAAACTGGAGCGCCGCCAGGAACTTGAAGCCGAGGATGGCCACCATGACGAGCGACAGCGCCAGCAGGATGTACTGCGAGAACTTGCACTTGGCCGAGTTGCGGTGGTCGACCTTGCCGATGAAGTAGAGGTTGCGCAGGCAGACGCGCTGGCGCTCGAGGACGTCGGCCGGCAGCGGCAGCGAGTCGAGCTGCTTGGTGATGTCCTTGCCCGGGTTCTGCGTGATGAGGCTGATGATGGGGTCCGACATAAACTTGAGGTTGGTCCCCGCGGGCGCCTGCTGGCCGTCAGGGGCGCGCAGCGCGCCCTGGTTGCCCTGCTTGACGTAGTCGGTGACGTCGTAGATGCCGCCGCGGTAGACGGCCACCGAGCGCTTGTCCTCGAGCAGGTCGCGGATGCCGTCGGACGTGTAGCCGAGGAAGCCGCGGCGGTAGTTGGAGCGCAGCAGCCACATGGTCTGGTAGTACCAGTCGGGACGGGCGTCGTCGGTGTGGAAGGTGCGGAAGTCGTGGTACTGGGCGTTCTTGTCGGTGGCGTTGTCGTTGGACAGCTGCACCCACGGGCTGACGCTGCCCGTCACGCCGTTGCACAGCGCATTGACCTGGACAGGGAAGATGGGCGTGGCGTCGTAGCCGGCGTAGCGCAGGATCGAGTCGTCGGGCACCACGCTGACAATCGAGCGGTGCATGGCCGTGATCTCGCTCAGGTCAAAGACCTCGCCGCGGATGGCCGTGTAGGAGTTGTCGCCGATGTGCGAGCGGAACTCGTTCTGCGTCAGGACGTGCTCCTTGGGGCAGATGAGGTTGCCGAGGACGACAATGACGAAGACGGCGCAGCCGCAGATGAACCAGATCATCATGTTGATGGCGAGCTTCTCGCGCCACGCCATGCGGATGTCGGGGCGGCGCAGGCCGCCGATCCAGTTGAGCAGCGGCGTCGGCACCCAGAACGTCAGCAGCCAGGTGAGGGCGACCCACTTGCGCCGCGCCGACGTCGTCTGCACCTCCTCGGCCACCTCGCCCGACGGCTCCTCGGTAAAGGCCGTGGCGCCGCCCTTTTCGTTGTAGAGGCCGTTGCCGCCGGCGCCGCCGGCCTTGCCGCCCGCGGCGTCGGCAAACATGTTGCGCGACGGCGCGTACATCTCGGAACCCACCACCGACGCCG